GCGGCGTCCTTGATCCACGGCCTCCCGAGTGGCGAGCGACGAGATGAGGGAGTCCTTGTCCATCATCGCTAACAGACCAAGACGGTGGTGGAGAGCGGCGCCGCCACCGGGCGGCGGTCGTTGTTGTTCCTCCATGAACCACACTCCATCGCCGCGCGTGCGGCCGGGTACCCTCGTGTCCTTTCGTCCCGACTCCTTCACGGCTCGTTTCGAAAGCGGCGGGTGCGGGGGAGCGGGGATGGCGGCGCTGGTGGGCTGCGGCGGCGGCGGCGGCAGGCCCGGGGGCGAACGGGGCGGCGTTGTTGCGGTCGACGGTGGGGCTGATGATGGGGCGACGGAGATCGGCGACGGGGCTGAGGATCCTGTGAAGATCGACGGGGAAGCGGGCGGCAGCGGTGCGGTGGTCGCTGGTGCAGGCGGGGTGTACGTGTACGTCCTTGATGGTGGGGGCGACGANTGATGGGGCGACGGAGATCGGCGACGGGGCTGAGGATCCTGTGAAGATCGACGGGGAAGCGGGCGGCAGCGGTGCGGTGGTCGCTGGTGCAGGCGGGATGTAGGTTGTTGTTGTTTGTTGTTGTTGTTTCTCACATTAGCTCTATAGTCCACAAAAAATGGGGACCCCGTGGTCTCAAAACCCGGCACATACGACGCCGCGGGGGAAAAAAGCAAAAATAGGNCCCCCGATGCCCGGTACCGGCGCCGGCGCCCCTGCCCGGCGGTTGACCCACACGACGTTGTTGGTGAGGGCGAGGCGACCGGTGTCAGCACGAAGAACGACGGCGGTAGACGTCGAGGGGTTGTTGGCGCCGTGCAGGTAGAAGCATCGCGCGGGTTGGACGTCCGCCTTCGTGGCCCGCTTCACGCGCATCATCCCCTCCTGGAAAAAAGGGACGACGGTGATATCTCCCCCACCAGTCGTACGCCCTGCTGCTTGGCCGTTTCACGCATCAAAAAAATCGTTTACATGGCCGGTGGAGGCATGGAACAAATCAANTACCGGGAGCCGTCCAGCGCGTCAGAGAACGGGCCCGTGAGGTCGATGTGGACTTTGCCGAACGGTACCGCCGCGCGGGTGCCACGCCTCGGCACCGGTGCCCACCTGCCCTTCGCCTCCACGCAGCCCACACATGGCTGCATCTCCCCCACCAGTCGTACGCCCTGCTGCTTGGCCGTTTCACGCATCAAAAAAATCGTTTACATGGCCGGTGGAGGCATGGAACAAATCAATGTCAATGGTCGGCGTGGATTTTCCTACCGAAAACGGGGAAGCACCGGGGGCGATAGTCGCCAAGGCATGCGAGAGGGAGGGGGGAGCTACGGTTTGCTGCTCACTGCATCCAGCAACAAAACCCTTCAGGAAATCCAATTCATCACTCATCACGGCAAACTCGGGGGTNCTACCGACAACGGGGAAGCCCCGGGGGCGATAATTGCCAAGGCATGCGAGAGGGAGGGGGGAGCTACGGTTTGCTGCTCACTGCATCCAGCAACGAAACCCCTCAGGCAATCCAATTCATCACTCATCACGGCAAACTCGGGGGTAGGGGGTGTTGCAGAGTCGCAAACATCAAGCGCATCCGGAAAAAAATCACCCTGTGGGACCGAGTCTATTCCATCCATCATGCCCACATCAAGGAACATACTCATATCCGTGAGAGGCAAATGGTCTTGGGGGATGAGGGGGTTGATCACAACTTCACGGAAATCAATCGTGTCAACGACGGAAGGAGAACCAATCTCAGACGACGCTACGGCAGCTGTGATTACAGGCTGGTAGTCGGCAATAATCGTTGGCACTACATCTACGTCGATTGGCGGGAATGCACAACGCGGGATCACTACACCGGACGTGGTGGATGGGACGCTCGAAGTCGCACTCGCAGACGAAGGTACCACACCGGCAGCGACTCCACCGGCGGACTGGAAGCTCGGACTCGCACACTGGCACTCGGAGGTACAACACCGGCAGCGGCACCACCGGCGGACTGGAAGCTCGGATTCGCACTCGAACTCGAAGGTACAACACCGGCAGCGACTCCACCGGTGGACGGGAAGCTCGTACTCGCATGTGTGCCCGCTCCTATGTTTGGAGGGAAAAGGGGGTTCGCGACAACAAGGCCTGTCCCAACGCTAGGCGGGGGAGCTTGAGGAGACACACGACGGAGGGCATCGGGACCGAGGGTTACAGCACTACCGGTATACGTGGGAGGCAAGCGAGTGGCCCAAAAAGAACATCCTACATTGGAGTAAGCAAAGGAAAGCTGGCCATTGAATAGATGCACGCCATTTTCATCCAACGTAATTCTCTGCCTACGCTGCGTATGGTGCAGAGAAAACAGATTGAACGTGATGCCGAGGACTACGTACACGTCCGACATCTGCACGCAAAAATCGGTCTCGCCCGAAGGGCCAGGCATGTGAAATGCCATGTTGATGCTACCAACACATTGCACGCGCAGATAGGCACCATTCCCTACTTGGATGAACTCTTTTCCTGCTGGGATCGGCTTCATGTCGAACATGTTTTCGCTACTGCTGACAAACGTGTTGCTTGCGCCGCTGTCGGCCCAATATTGCTCTCTACCAATCTGCTAAGGGCGACTCTGAACAGACAAAGCGAAACCACTACCATTCTCACGCGCTACCACATTTGGAAAGATCTCGCCTTGTGACACAAAACGTGTCTTGAGGAAGTGAAGATGCCCAGGGGATCCGGCTGCGTCGGGAGGAGGCGAATGGTACGGGGCATGGGTCGATTACTGCTGCGGCTGCGGCTGCTGCTGGAACGACGGCGGTGGCGGAGGCTGCAGCGGTGGCTGCTGCTGCTGCTGGTAGTACGGTGTCGGAGGCGGGTAGTACGGCTGCCGCTGGAAGCTGTAGTCTGGCAAAGGTTGCCNGTGACACAAAACGTGTCTTGAGGAAGTGAAGATGCCCAGGGGATCCGGCTGCGTCGGGAGGAGGCGAATGGTACGGGGCATGGGTCGATTTCTGCTGCGGCTGCGGCTGCTGCTGGAACGACGGCGGTGGCGGAGGCTGCAGCGGTGGCTGCTGCTGCTGCTGGTAGTACGGTGTCGGAGGCGGGTAGTACGGCTGCCGCTGGAAGCTGTAGTCTGGCAAAGGTTGCCGATACTGTGGCTGATGCTCCCACCCCCCATACTCGTTACCATACGTGGTCCCCTCATGGGGCGCGGCACCATACGATTGACTTACATTTGCGTGCCCGTACGGGGGCCGCCGCTGCTGCTGCGGTTTACGAGGGGGAGCTGGATGTCCATGATGCTGCTGTCCTCCGTAGCCGTCGTGAGGCCCGTGCCAGGGCCCACCCCCCCAGCCCCCCCCACTGCGGCTCGGCTGCTGTGGCGGCGGTCCCCGAGGTTGCTGTTGCTGC